ACAAACTGATTAAGTACAGAAGAAAATTGTAAAGTGAACTGAATTAATAGAATAGCTTACATTGTGTTGTTTATTATTGCAAACTAGACTGTAAAATTTAAAAGAGAATGACCTTCCTTAATGGAATCGGTCATGCTTGACATGATGTTGCAACTCAATTTAGTCAATTTAGTTGAAAGTAGACTAAATTTATTTTTTTAGGTGTATTTTTTAGGTGAACCATCCACAGATGGTGGATAACCGATGATACATTGGGATGGGCTGTGCAGCCGTTATCGACTCTGTCCTGCAGAAGCAGCAGGTTGCAGAGAGAAATGCTGCCAAGAAATACTTCCTTTTCTCCACTAATCTCATTCAAACTACCTGTCACGTTCGGTTGCACTGCTAGTGCTAAATTGCTTACAGTTATTACTGATAAGAAGCATGTCTGATAAAAAAAGAGCCAATGTGGTAGGCTGTACATTCTCTGGAGTGATTTGATGATTGAATGAATGCTAATGAACAGTCTTCACTTTATGAGTTTAGAATAAAAAATCCAAATCCAGACCTAACACTATATGCATTTTCAGCTATATGCTTTCATACTATTGGAGTTAAAATGCAAAATGCCAACGCAATCAAATATCAATGTATCTAAATAATAAACTTTTTTTTTTTCTCTCATTTATCTCGATGCAATAGTAAAATATCAGTGCTTGCAATACCAACCCCATGCCACCCAAAAGCCCTAGGGGGCCACAGGGGGTGCTAGGAAGTCTGTGGGTTAAAAAAACGGACTGACAAAATGATTTTGAAAAGGGCTCTGCATATTTAAAACTGAAAATGTTTGTCTTCAGGTTTATATATCTAACAATATCTTATATATTTAACAATACAACTGATACATTGTCAATAAAAATGTGTACAAATATTTTGGTATGTAAATGATGGCCTTAATACAATGACAGTATAAAACCAAATCATCAAGCACATATTGTCTTTATAATATCATCCACTCTTTCTGTATAGATGCCTTTATTTTAGGAAGGGGGCCTCACAGTTCCTGGCATCAAAAAAGTTTGAAAACTCCTGCATGAGAGTAAAATATTGCCACAAATCCTTCCTTGAGAAGCACACACAGACATCTCTGACTGACTTTCATCTGTGTTGCATTTCATTGCATTTGACACATAACCATCAGTCTTCACCAACCCACAGTTAATGAGTGCCATTTACAGACTTCTCTGGAGTTTTTGAGGATGAAAAAGATTTGAGCCAAGTCTCAAGTTGTTTAAGATGAGCAAATGAGTAATGATCATATGCTACATAAATAATGTTCATGGAGTAAATTACTGTCATATTTTTTGTAAATATTTTTTTCCTAGCTAGCTAGCACAGTTTTTTAAACAACATAAACATTAACATTTTAGTGCCAGCAAAGAGCAATTAGTTGATCAAATAAGTTGACAGGTAATTTCAGAGTGGTCTAAATGCATTTGGACATAACATCACAGGATTTGGCACATCATCACCAAACACCGATAAGACATCTACCCAGACTAATTTAATAACATTGATAAAATGTGTCTGATGACATTTCTGAAAAATATTACGCTGCTTCTTACAGGTTTTTTGGCATGTTCAAAGAGAAATGTCCAGTGACCCTAGCCTAAACCTAACTGACAATATTAACAAAAGCAAACGTGAGATAAAAACACATTTACTGGAACAGCCATGCCATTTGATCTTCTACTAGCCTTTGAGGTCTTTTATTGAGTGTCGTGACTTGATAACAAGTCATGGGACTCATACCTGAGCGATCCACATCGCAAGTGCAATACTGTACCAAGTGAGCAACTGAGCAAGTTTACTACATCAGAAAAGCCATACAAGTGGAGCTGGTTATGTGACGGTTACGTCAAAATGTATTAGTTTACATATCATGCACTGTGGTAAAATGTTTTGAAGTCATAACATAGTATTGTGAAACTGTGTGAAGTTGTATTAATCAGTAGGCCTAAATAGCCACTGTAATCATAATTTGTGTGAAAAAGCAAAAAAAAATAATAATTGTTGGTGTTTTACTGCAACTAGTTTTCATTTCAGCTTGAAACTGTAGTGAATTGTATGTATATGAATGTTTTTGGAGTTTTGCAAAAATATATAGGTAGAGTCACGTTTTTTCATTGAACCTAAAGTATGTTGCAACCGGGAGGTAACTTGCATTGATTTAGATCCTACTTTGCCCACATTAAAAAGTGTTTTGTGCTGTTTCATCAGCAATGGGATGATATTTGAGGGTCCTTGGTATCAACAATGTTGAAAACCCTTCATTAAAGTATTAAAAACCCTGCAGTATTAGCTCTAAATCACTGAAATGTTTGTTTTTCCAAAACATGAGCCGTGCTTTATTTGTGCTGTTGTTAGCCTGGAGCAGGATCGTACACCTAGCTGACTCTGTCAGAGCGGATCACCCTTGCACCACACACCCAGTCATACCTGATGTACATTTGACAGATTTCTGTAACGATGTATCATCTGGCTGCTGACAGCTTCTCTCGACCCACCCCCTCACTACCAGCACACTCCTGCCCTCTGATTCACAGGTATCTGATCCCAGAGTCCTCGACACAAACCATCCCAATGGTCTTATTTCTTAAGAGACTGTAGGGAAACAAACAGGCAGAGATACTGATACCTATGTGTTTGTACTATTCTGTATTGTGTTATGTGTTTCAGTGCTTTGGCATGGCACAGCCCTGTTTATTATGCTAATAAGGTTCTTTGAATTATGAATCGAGAGAGAGAAAGAGACCACATAAGCTGTGTATAATATTGTTTTTCATTTGTGTGCATAAGAATCCGGAAGAGTTTTAGTCATACTTAAGCTTGGATACATTTTTACAGTTTCATAGGAAATTACCTTGCTAATGACTAGTAGACTGTCTCATTTCAGTCTGATGATAAAAAGCCCACAGTTGCTGTTTGCTCTGCTTGTTTATCTGATAAGGAACCTGCCTGCATCCCGAAAAATATATAGTAAAAAGGGATTTTCACAGATTTTCATCTGTCTACCGTAAAACATGATGGAGGAATATGGTAAATAATTAATTATTTTTGGCATGCAAAACTATAAAATCTTAATACAGGTCAGATACAGACAAACAACAGGAAGTGCTAATGGTTTTGAGCTGAAGGCATACATCTTTGGAAGCGCCTTCAGAGTTGACACAAACCTTTGGAGAGAGACAGCTCTGAGTGACTTTCAACTCCGTCGCATTTCAAAACATTGCCATCAGTCTTCTCCAACTCGCTATTAATGAGTGTCATTATTCTCTGGAGTTCCTGCTGTTTTCTGTTCCATCCTGTCCTGTCTCCTGAGTCAAGATTCACGTCAAGATGAAAAAGAGTTTTAAGATGAGGAAATGAGTAATGACCATATGCTATATAAATAATGTTTAAATATTCATGGGGTGAATGGCCGTGATGGTTTATTTGCAAATGTTATTGCTAGCTGGCTGGTACAGCTTTGTAACAATGTGTAAATATTCATGTTTGGTGCCAGCTGGTGGTAATTATTTAATGAAATTAATGGCAAATAATTGCAGAACTGTCTTCATGGGCTTGGACTGGTAATAGCTTGCTTACCATACTCTGATAAAAGTTTGGCCGATACTGAAGTCAGTAATTATTTTAATTTCATGAATGATTTTAAAATTCTATTATTTTGCCTTACTAAAGTAAAAATAAAACACAAAAAGCTAAAATAAACCATTAAGTGTTATAAGCGAATTTAGGCATTATAACGTACAGTATAGAAAAATAGAAAAAAATTATTCTGACAATAAAGTAAAAAACCAAATTGAATTTTGAGATTTGCTTAGATTACAGTGTTATTAATATGTTAGTGTTATTAAAGATTTTAACATTAAGTGAGCATTAGATGACATTAATGGTGATCTAAAAAATGTAAATATCCAGCTGATATATATCCACTATTGACAGATACTGATAAATGAAAACATATGTGACCCTGGACCACAAAACCAGTCATACGGGTACATTTTTCAACATTGATTTATACATCATCTGAAAGATGAATAAATAAGTTTTCCATTGATGTATGGTTTGTTAGGATAATATTTGGCCGAGATACAACTATTTGAAAATCTGGAATCTGAGGGTGCAAAAAAAATCAAAATATTGAGAAAATTGCCTTTAAAGTTGCCCAAATGAAGTTCTTAGCAATGCATATTACTAATCAAAAATTAAGTTTTTATATATTTACAGTAGGACATTTACAAAATATCTTCATGGAACATGATCTTTACTTAATATCCTAATGATTTTTGGCATAAAAGAAAAATCAATAATTTTGACCCATACAATGTATTTTTGGCTATTGCTACAAATATACCCCAGTGACTTAAGACTGGTTTTGTGCTCCAGGGTCACATATTGGTCGATAACTGTTCAGTTATTACTTAAATAGATCTACACTAGATACTTTGTCCATACACTAAAAAATTGGTATAAAAACAATTTTCACTCACTGCTAGTAAATTAAAATATTCAATAACAATATTACAAAGAATTGGCAAGTAATGCATTAAATGAATCATGACATTTTTATAATAGAAAGACTAAATAAGAAAATATTCTCCAATAATCATTTTTATAGTAATATAGTATTTTTTTAAAGCCAAGTTTTTGTTATATATATATATATTAATTGTCTCTACTATGCTGTTTAATTATATATTATGATTATATTTGTTTGTTTGTTTATTTACTGTGATCGTCAGAAACCTGAGAAAACACAATGAAGTATCTGTGAGTGTGAAGTGAAGCAGTCAGGCAGCTGTCCGTGTTACTGCCTGTAGATTGTGGACAAAGAGGCTGTATGTGGTTGTTTAAGCATGAAAATACTGAAACTGTCTGGCAATACGGCCCTGTAGTAAACACATGGTTTTTTTTTAACTAGCAAACAAAGTGTGTTGAAAATAAACAGACATTCAATGATGAGTGCCACTGACATTGGCGATGACATTGACAGTGATTGTGAGGGTGATGGTGGCCTTATTGTTGACAATGATGGGGAACTGAAATAACAGACAGGCGGAGAGAAAGATAGATGGAGGGGGGTGATGTGTATGTCTTTTGTAGTTCAGATTCTTATTACCAATATGAGCTCACAGCTGTTTGTGCATACAGATGAACAGAGGTGTGCAGTCGCTAATTAATTTCAGCACTGTAAAATGGAGCATTCTAATCCACAAATAATTGCTTTTTTCATGCTAATCACTAAGGATTGTCCAAGTCTGCCGCTACATCTGGTTTTCTGTGTGCTGACACACAGAAATGAATTTACTTTGTATTTGATGTCTTGTGACACAGGCCAACATAAGGCCAAGTCAGTTCTTCACAGCAGAGGCAAAATAATTGCTTCTTGTTTACAGATAATAAACAACCCCAGTGTTCAACCCTCAGCATCTCTCATATCTACTGACAGGAACATATTTACAAGGGAATGTCTTAATTGGTTCACAAAGAAAGTATTCTTTAATTATGGCAAGTTTGGAAAAAGTCTTTATACGCATAAAATGCTTCCAAATGTTTAATGAGTCTTTAGTGCATTTATACAAGTTTTTCACTTTTCATTGATTTATTAGAGAACAACGACAGCACAGATTAAATTTCTGTCAGGGTTCAGTTGAAATTGCCTCAAGTTATTTTCACAGCAAATTGCCTTTTGAAGTATAAATGACCAACTGTCCATCAAAATGAGCCAAGCAGCTCTAGGAATTTTTGTTCTTTTTGAAATGAATGCTAGTTTTATATATTATTTAGATGACATATTTTGAAATGGAACAAAAACAAAAATGTAAACAAACTTTTTCATATATTTATTAGACCACATACTAATTAGGCCAAAAATTTTTAGAGTAAATGCTTTTGTTCATGTTATTCAATTGGGAATGGCAAGCTATAAAAGGTGTACAATCCTGAAAAAAGCTATGCATATATTTTTGCATTTATTAAAGGAGTCATATGATGTTGCTAAAAATAACATTATTTGGTGTAATGAAATGTGTTTATGCGGTTTAATGTTAAAAAAACATTATTTTCCACATACTATACATTATTGTTTCTCCTCTATGCCCCGCCTTTCTGAAATGCGTCGATTTTTACAAAGCTCATCGGTCTGAAAAGCGAGGTGTGCCCTGATTGGCCAGCTATCCAGTGCGTTGTGATTTACCGAATACCTCAAGCGTGTGACGGAAATGTTACGCCCCTTACCATATTGTGATGGAGCGACGAGACAAAAACATTAAAACCCATTATAAACGAGGCATTTGTTGCATCCAGTGGGGACATAATTACGGATTATAATGACTTACAAATCATTCTAATATGCTGATTTATTATTAGAATTATCAACAACAATACTACAGCGAGAATATAAGTTACGCCTTCTTTCTTTGCGTGAACGTTTGGGCGGCGTTATGCAAATCTTCTCACATCGTGACGTAGATATGTTGGGGCGTGTTAGAACGAGCCATTTTAGGTAGGTGTGGTTGACTCTTAACTTTTATAAAGAATATCTCTTTGGATTTGAGACTTTAGTCTTTGCAACTTTACAGATCTTCTTTATGCACCAAGAGCTTGTAACACTCCAAAGAGAAAGGAAAAATTAATATCGCATCATATGACCCCTTTAAGGACTCACCCGCGTCCTCACACTTGGCCGCAACCACACAAAAAAAAAACTGTCTGAACTAACTCTTTTAACTCTAACTCTTGTGTTTTTATGAAATTAAATTAATGACGTTTAACCAGAGAAACATTCAAGTTACAAGATATTAAATTCCCATTAAGCCTTAAATTGTTTAATTCTCTTTTGCCTTTGACTGCACATAATATTCACTTTTTTAATAGTAAATCTTAATTAAAACATTGAGCTAATAGATTAAACATTATTTCTCGCAACTTTGTCTTTAAACATTCCCCAGTCTGATTTATTTGGACGTGCGCCATACATAACACAAAAACAAATATGAATGAATATGAGGAAATGGCTTCCTCTGGGTTTATCTTTGCCATCTGTGCTAAACACGTTCATAATCCTTGACATAACCAAGGCTTAATAAGCAGGTTGATGCGATGGGCCCATTACTCAAATATATTGTTATGGTTGTGCTCACCTCTGATTTTAGAGATGTATATTTTCTTCATTATAAAACATTGCCGGGAATAAATCGAAATCAGTCATACTGTAGATGACATTAATGTAATCAGCATTTCAAACGATGGAATAAATAAAGGCAAGCAATGAAACGTTTGTTCATAATGAGATCTGTGCTGGCCTAGTTCATGGATTTATATTCTAATTAGCTATGCCTGGTTGCATAGTGGCATAGTAAAACTAGCTAAATGATTATTAAAGTATAAAGTTGAATTCCGAGCATGTGGTATTTTTATGAATATTTTTTAGTTTTATGCAACATGAGCACTATTTTTTCCCCAAACTTTTGGTACTGTGGTTCTAAATCTGCACTTGTGGAATTTCCCATTTTGTAAACACATTTACCTTCTATGAACATGCATCTCATCCTTCAATGCACTTTAATGGAAATAAATGGAGAGATGACTTTGTGCTCCGCTGTAGCAGGACCAGTCACCAGGATAAATGAGATGAGCCTCTAATGGAGTTGAATGAATTAGAGAAGTTCCTCCCCACAGCTCTGCAGGGTTCAGGCCAGAGCGTTCGCTGAAGCGCATACCATTTCTTTGGTCTGCGGGGGAAGAACTAAGACATCTCTAATGGTCTAGATGATATTTAGAAGAGAATTCAACGCTGGCCTCCAAATAATCTTGTTACATTTTGTAACATTTATTTTCCCCTGAGATTCATTTAAACTCAAAAACAAATTATCAGAGCTGTGAAATATGTTCAGACTCAGATCGGGATGTGCAGCTAGTATAGGCTTTTCTGTTCTTGTTTGGCCTTCTTCATTGTAGTTCTGCTATTGATTTGATTTTTATTATGAAACAATGGGTAGATATATTTTTCTATTAAAGCATGTTATGTCTATTAATGTAATATGACATATATTGTCATATCATGAGTGCTATTGTCATATGTTATTGATAAGGCAATATTATAATTTTCACATTTGTACATTCTCTAGGTAGATGAAGTCATTTAACATATTTAAGTTTTTTAAAAATGTCCATGTTAATAATGTCTATATGATTATTTTTTATATGTGGGATTTTATGTAGCAACAATGCAACTTTATTAAAACAACATATATATATCTGTAAATATCTGTATGTTTATATTTTTTGTAATACATTTTTTTTAATATTTTAAAATTTCTTCTAAAATATCAACATATATTGACGGATTTTAGGATAGATATAAATGTACATGGCATATATGTCAAAATTGTTTTACGCATACATAAATATAGATGTTAATATATGAAATTGTTCCAGTTTCTAATAGGTTTCATATATGTTTTTACTTCATATAAAAATATATTTAATGTATGGAAATGTAATATATGTACACATTACTTTTGTGTATGGGCAGCTTCATGGTACAGAAAAACTTTGTGTATCAATAAATGATAGGATAAGCTTGATAACAGCCAATAATGTTGAGGATCCATTCAGCTTTTTCTTACAGATGGAAAAGCATCTACGCCAGGGCTGTAGCTTAGTCTTTCAATTGGATATAGACATTCAGAAGACAGCAAAACACCAATAAGCCCCACTATCTCTTTGTTATTGCAGACTGACAGTCCTTCACATTATTGGCTTAAATGACACCTCTCAGCATTCAGCAACAAAGCCCTGCTCCAATCGATAGACTCACCATGGCAAAAGAATATGATGAAAATACAAGGTTATGAACATGGCCTTTATCATGCATGCATAGCATTTCAAACGCAACATGCAAAAATGCCTGTCAGATTAATCCTAATGCATGGCTTTGGGGAAAGGCACAAATATGCTAACCTGAAACCATATGTCATCTTCCAAGTGTATCATCCCACATAGGGTGGTGTACTTGAGCTGTCAAAATTGTGAGATCAGTATTATCTCAGCAGTATGTGTGTTGTGTGAAGTAATTAGGCATGACTCTCTGCCTCAGGCCCTTTTTGATGACATTTTCACAAGACCAACATAAGAATGAGGAAGGCAATAAGAACCTCAGGGAGCGAGATGAGGCCTAAATGACTTGATTATGTTATAGTTGTGATTTACATGTGTTTTTAATGGTGATGATTCATCTGGAAATTTTGTATGACCTCTTTAGGATATATACTTAATATAAATGCTATTAATAAGGTACAATCTACATGTCAAAGTCTCAATGGCATGCGAACCTTTGTGGTCATCTTGACTCTGCTGCTCAACCTGTGGCAGATGTGTTCATTTCTGTTTTTGTCTTCTATTTTCCTGACATATACTACAAACTCTGCACTGAGTAGAATAAAGAATATCTGGAGCCAGATATATCACAAGATATATCAATAAAAAGCAAGAAACCAGCTACAAGAGCACCCGAAATTGCTCTTTTAGGGGAAAAAGCTCTTTTAGCGTGCTGAGGCGCACAGGGGAGATGATCATCTGCAACACAAACAGGGGGTAGTGCAGCCTGATGTGTGCAACCCAACTTTAACAATATAACAAATATATAATGCTTATTAGAATGTAACAAAACCAGCCTATTGCCCGATCAAAACTAGAACAATCACCAAATTCAACTAGTTTACAAACTAGTCCGACTCAAAATATGCCACTCCCATATCTAAAATACATATTTTACAGTCAGTGCTATGCATTAGACACAATTTCACATTGAATATCACTACATAGTAGTAAAAATAAACAGTCTGTTTTTATAAAAACAAAAATAATCACTTTACTCTGTACCATCATCTAGTGCAGTTTTAACATTGTTAAAATATAAATTGGGTGCAGTAAATATTTCAATACAAGCATTTCCGTCAAATATGATTCATGCATATGTCAAATCTTTAACCCATGGGGAA